GATTTGGACTTAGTCCTATTGAGTCATCATTTCTCATATTCGGAATAACAGTCAATAATTCGCAAAGGATAACGTTTTGGCAAAAACGCAAGGATAGAGGAACCGATAAAAATAAAAACTTAAAAATGTCGAAGGTTTCCATAAACTGCGATCTATTTCTTCGACATTGGACGATTAAATTTTTTTTCAAATATTAATCCCTTATTAAAAAATTAACGACATCCCTCTCCTTTAGAGAAAATGTTGGCGAACACCAGAATTTTTATTTTCTTGAACCTACCCCTGTGAAAATTGACTGAAATATGCAGCATTACAAGGTAGTCATAAATTTAGAAAAAGCAGTCCTTTGTACTATAGTTCTAAGAAAACTTTACATAAGTCTTAAGGCCTTACTTGATATGGCAGCCTCGGAAGAAGACCTTGATCGAAAACACACGGTTAAGGCGAGCGAGTTTTTAGTAAATTGACTAGAAGCTAAAAATTATTTTTTGAATGTATCTTCAAAAAAAAAAAGATTGATTTCGACTGTTTTTGTAACATAAACTTTTATTGGAAATCAAAAAAGATATCAACCGTCAATTGTCACAAAAAATCTGAATAGTAATTATAGATATTTAATTTTTTAGCATATATCTATACTAATATTATAAATGTGAAAGTTTTTGATGATGGATAAATGTATGTATGTATGTTTGTGGCTCTTTCACGCTTAAACGGATTTAGATGAAACTGTATTAAATTCAGCTTATATATCAGAATAACATTTAGGCTACAATTTATGAAGGTTTTGTGTAATTTTTGTCAAAATATAACGATGAATAGTTAGTCAGAAAAATGTTTGCTCCCTGAGAGCTATCTTGGCGTGCGCTGCATATACCGTTGGAGTTACATAAAGATAATGTACCGTAAGATTGGTTGGTTACCTTGAATAGTTCTAAATCAACGTATGCGATAGCATAAATCTATTTCTTATGTGATAGCCATACCAAATACTTAACCATAAATAAAATTAAATTGGATACTCTTTTTACAATGCACATTTTAAAATATCTGTCAAATTCTTATAAAATTTGATACAATTGTCGTTTTAGTTTTTAATTTAGGTAAACTTTGTCTTTTACATTAAGTAATATGGACGAATCGTTTAAAAGTTATTACGATAAGATTAACTTGACGCATCGCAGTAAGCCATTACGCCTCGCGTCTACTGTAAGACGACGGAAGACGATGCGCGGGGATAGAGGGGCGGTCTAAGCAATGAAGCGCCATCGCCGAGAAAGCGACCCGAACGCGGGCAGACGCGTGAGGGCAGACATCGTTGACGGTTGTGTTAGTTTTGCGAAATTTCTTTATAGGAAACATAATTCGATTCTCGAAGCCATTCATTACTTAGTGCAGTTGGCATATTTTTTTTGTTACTGTATTTTCAGAGTAAAAATATAAGCCCGCGGTTTCGCCCGCGTAGAATTTGTCACATTGAATTTCGTGACGGATCATTTTAAACAAATAGTTATAATATTTTTGTTAATAACCCATGACTTCAGGTTTCCAACTTCAAAACCGACTAAATTCAATACAATCTTTGTACTCATATTTTTTCCCTCTTGGGGGGTGGAAATTCCTGATTCCCTTTCTTGATGTTTAGTTACGCTATACAAAGAACCTACCTCCATATTTCAAGATTCTAGGTTCAGTAGCTTCGGCTGTACGTTAATATAAGAGTGTCAGTCAATCAATAGGTACTCATTTATACAATACTAGCTGTTAAAAGCTGTTTTACCCGCGTTACCATGGAAACTACCCAGGTCATGATCCATCTAAACCCAAATTTGAATACGTTGAGCTGGTTAGGCTGAAAAAGTATAAAACGTAAATACATACGTTACATTCATCCATCCTCAAAAATTTTACGCATTTATAATAATAGTATAGGAGTACGATCAGTTGTATTACTAGTGTATTTCGTTCTAATCCTTTCAGTTTTTTTTGCTGATGCTATTCAATATTATATAAGTGAGTATCTTTTGATTGATTGACATTCTTATATTTACGTACAGCCGAAGCTACTGAACCTGGAATCTTGAAATATGCAGGTAGGTTCTTTGTATAGCGTAAATAAGCATCAAGAAAGGGAATCAGGAATTTCCACCCCCGAGAGGGAAAACGAGAAATAGGGGTTTAAAGATTGTATTGAATTTCGTCAGTTTTGAAGTTGAAAACCTGAGGTTAATAAAAAAATATTGTAACTATTTGTTTAAAAAGGTCTGTCCTGAAACTTAATGTGACAAACCAAATTCTACACCTTCACCAGATAACTATCAATATATAGTGTTATATATACATATTCTTTTCAGTAATTAAAATATTTCGGTTAATCTCTAGTTAATCTACCCGCTTCTCATCTTGGCGACGTTTACCTAAATTTCTATGATAGAATTATAGGTATGAAGTGTTAGCTCTCACACGCTCTAGCTATCAAATTAATTCGTTGTAAATTATAAGTTAGAGACGGATTTTCCAGGTCGTTGCTTCAGCGGGACCCCGGTTCGAAAACAAGTGGCGACGGCGACAAAGGTCATATGATTCGATTGACCTTTATGAATCGGCGAGTAATCCGAGATTGCACGAGCCGGTCGATGTGATACTGATACTTGCATCCTTGCATGTCTTATTTGTTGCGATTTCACAGCTGCAGTCTGGAGGCTGCAGTCTGAAGTCTGGTTTCGGAAGGACGAATGGGTGTAGGTGCTTTTCTATGTTCCGAATGAAAGTCCCGATGAAAAAAATCCTTGATGAGTTATTATAATGCTCTCTCTTTTGCTTTGAAAGGCCTGTAGAGAATGAGAACTTCAACCCCGAATGTATAGACGGATATTGAGGAAAATGTGGCCCAATACTTCTACAACTAATACTTTACCCGAATATGCTATTGTAAAGCGAAACATGTGTCACGGTTTTGTAAACTTTCAAGTGTAAATCTCATATTAAAGTGTTTTTTATTAGTCAGTGGGCTAAGCTTAAAGACAAGCAGTAAACAAATCTAAAGAAATGAACTTTAAATGTTCAAGCCCGTCTCGGATAAACGTACACAGTACGTTGAATGGACTGATGCCTATCAGAAAACAACTACCCCACTGGCTAATACCACGAACGCCGTTGGATTATATCCGACAGGATTCAGTGCAGGAATCTTTACAGAAAAGTTCCTGCATATGCAATTGGCAATACAACTGAAAGAGTCGACCTTCAATTTTGGAACGGACACAATTGCAGACCGGTTTCTGGCTCCTTAGCCAATCGTCAGTGCAAGATAATGCCCATCATCGACCTAAAGTCAATGATATTCCATAACTGAAAATCGAAATTCTTTCAGAGTATTTCATTCCTCGTCTTAAATTGGAGAGAACAATCCAGTGGACGAGGATATAATCCAACGTCGTTCGTGGTATTAGCCAGTGGAGTAGTTGCTTTCTGATAGACATTACTCCATTCAACCTACTGTGTAGGTATATCCGAGACGGGCTTGAACATTTAAAGTTCATTTCTTTAGATTACATTAAAGCGTGTTTTTTTAGTATCTTACAATGCATTTCCAAGTATTGGTCGGTTCTATCACATAAATTCGTAATAGGTTTTCCAGGAAATTCTAGTTTCTCAATTAGAGCTTCCAAGTTCTTTCTTTAAGATAGTCTCTCTCCTCTGTATGATCTTTGTCCGTCCATCTCTCAGTGGTGATTCAATTTTGCTTCTGGTTTTATGGTCTACTGATTTTATAATTAGAAATACATTTTTGTCAGCTTACATTTTTAATGCTAGTCATTTTCCTTTGATCGTCTCATTTATTTTCACCTCTTCTACATATCTCATAATATCGTGTACTAACAATACGGTTGAATATTATTTTGCTTGTGCGTCTAGTAAATATATTTCAGAAGGTAATAGTCTTTCAGCCGTTCTTGCTCAGCCAATCTAATGTGGTCTCTTCAGGAGTCATATATCATAAGGATTCGATTTTTTCAATGTAAACATGTGAGTTTTTTTTTAATCTCTTGTGACTAGGTATCTGTTTTTCAAAAGGATGCTTCATGTATTACTGAATACAGCTTGGAAATTTAGTAACCTTTTACCATAACCGACAAAACACGAAAAAAATGTAGCTATATCTTTCATGTCAGAAACTAGCTGGGCCTTCGAATTGCGGACGAACTTAGAATTGATGAATGATTTGTAAATTATCAGTTGCTATATTAACTTTCATATATTTCGTTTAAGAAATACGAAGTCGTGCCATTCTAACACAAACAGTGTTGCCTGGTCATTTTCATGCTCAGCAGTAGATTTTTTCAGTAAAACAGAAAATATATTTCATAGATACAAGTTACATACATGGCAATTTCCACTATTTACAGTTATTTATTAATTATTGTAGGAAATAAACTGTGTAATCAATAGAATTTAATTCCTAATCAGTAGAACGGTAGCTCGACCGCCAAAACTGCAAAAACAGACCTGGCAATATTGAACACGGTGCTCCTCCTGTGTGATTTCTTCTATATCTACAAAGGATTGATTTGCAATACTCTACTTGCATCACAGCTCTATTGTGAACGTTTCGATTTTCTTTCTCGGGGCACTGTAAACAGCATTCTTTTTACCGTCATCTTTATTTTTTCTTCGACGAACCCGAAACGTCGAACTACTAAAAACACGACGCGGTTCAAACCGGAATTTATATTACTAAGAATTAGCTATCCATAATGTCTGCAAAAGTATTTGAAGGAATTGAGTACAGTCTGCACGGGCAATTTCGTATAAATCTCTCTGTGAGAATAGGTATGTATAATTAGAAGCAAATCGATCAATCAACGTTCTGTTACATATCGATACACGTTTCAGAAGTGGATTATCGTCTGTTATACGAGTGAAATTTATTTGATCTATATATTTTTCAATTTTTTTTCTGGTCTGGTTTAATATAAATTATTTTTTGTTTGTTTCAGGTATCAAAAGAAGAGCTAGCAAAATTGGTTCAGGGTTTCGAAAAACAAGACATTCTCACATCCTCTGGAGTCACCTTAGCCGGCAACAGATACATATACCTTTCCGGTACGGACCGTGTCATAAGGGCGAAATTGGGCAAAGTCGGAGTACATTGCATGAAAACGACACAAGGTAAGGCAATTCCACATAGGGTAGCTAACTTGGAAGGGAGCATCATATAATCATAAATATTTCAATATATTGCATAATCATCATAAATATACTGTTCATAAATGAATTATACAATGCGGCCAATTTTATAATCGATTGATGATTTTTATATTTGTCTACAATTAACATGTAGGTACTTGATTAAAATAGCCAAGCTTTCGAAGTAAATCTTGATTTATGGATCAATAAACCAATTCAGATAAAGCTCAAAGTGGACATTCATACATAACAAAAATTTATCCCAATAGATTACATGAAAAAAAATATGGAAAGGCTGAAGGAGAAATTGAAAAATAAAACATTTCATTAGAAAAAAAATTGAAAGACACGAATATCGTAAAAGACATTGTCATGGTTAGCCTTCACGTCAGCGATAAATTTGACCAATTCATGGCTTTTTGTTAACACTGACAATGTATCAATTCATTTTTTATAAATTTATTTGGAATGATGATAATAATAATCTTTATTGGTTTCAAAGACCTAAAAGGCATAAAACAAGTGAAAAGAAATTTGAACATAGATTAGGATATTTTTAGGATAGGATATTTTTAAATTTTCTCATATCTGGATATATTTGGAAGTGATTTCCCGTTTTGATGTTTTTGTTTATATTCAGAATGTCATGCATGGAATCATTTTACGCCAGAGGTTCCAGTAATATCTATCAAATGTAAATTTCCTGATATATTATTTTTTTGTTTGAAAAAATAGTCATGATGCTCAGGGAGTTATTAACATTACTTACTCAAAACACGAAGCTAATGACCATAACAGTCGATGTCGTTGACACTTGAATAAAATGCATACATAAATAGTTCACTAGTGAGAATGGAATTTTGATTGATGATTTGATCATGTCAAGATTCTTTTGAATAATGATATATAGCTCGTTACTTCCACAAACTTGTATTGCTCTTTAATTGTGACATACGCTGTTCAATTTATAATGTATGGTGTATCACAAGAATCTCTATTTGAATTTGGTTTCAAAGATTTATTATGAAGTGTTGCTACAGTTTCATATCTAACTTTGGTTTTATTGGCCATTGGATTCCTACTTTTGACAACTTATATTTATTAAACTAAACTTTTTGTTAATATGCCAAACGGAATACTTGTTGAGTACTTCCAAAATTCAAGTCACCAGTATAATTATTTTGTCGTCACTGCCAATAAAATCATTTTCATAAAGTTGTTAGAAAACCACTCATCTCTTAATACCGTCAATGTAATGATGGAGGAGTAACCAACCACATTTCAATCAAACATCCACGAAATTTGAACGTAGTAGGTAGAGTGTTGAAACTGGTGACGTTGGATGAGTTGTTGACCCACAACTTGCATTAAAAATAAACACTCGCGGTACATTCCGATGGACACGTCGTTTTTCGTAAACCTACGAAAACGATAGCCAGCCTACCCCGCACCAATTTTGGTTAAGGAATTCCGCGGGTAATCGACGCGTTGTCACTGTTACTAGATCATTAGTCGACGTATAGATACCGTGGGTGAAATAGTTCCCAAATATATTTACCTAGTGATCTCTGTTGCTAATATAGCCTTTCTCGAACAAAAATTGTATTCAGTAAATGTACAGACATATTTATAGTAGTTTGAAATTAGGTAAATAGGAGGTGTTAATTATAAATGGGTAGCCTAATAATAAACAGATATAGGCATTTAGGCTCTCACGGCTAGCGTCAATGTTTTGGTTGGTTTCCGGGTTTTACCATGGTCTTTTTTGGTAACGATTTCCAAACGTTTCAATTTCAATTGCGGCAGTCATCTTCAGTGGGGTGGTCGAAGTACTCTTTTTGACGTATCAACTGAATCTGAAAAACCCGAAAACCAACCAATACAATAAAACATTCAGAGAAATTTAACAAAAATACCCTTAGTTATATCACACATATGCAATCAATTGTTGAAAAGGTTACGTTATGGTGAAAGGATAACATCTAATTGGTCATTTAGTAAATTATTGGATTGTTTTCTATTGTTGATATCAAGTGCTTCTAAGAAATTGAGTTTTGAGCATGTTCTTTCTGAATGTATAATTTCGAAATTTGGATCAAAAGTATGGTTTTCATCTATAAGGTAATTTGAATAATTTGAATCTCTCTTGTGGTTATGTTTACCGAAATTATTGCTTTTAAGAAACATTTTATTTTGTCACTAGATTTGCCTAAATAGGTTAATGAGCAGTATTTAATTGGTTCGAGTTTCTGGATGGTGTAGACTTCTCTGATATTGAGTTCTTTTTTGAAGTTGGAGTCTTACATAGGGATATTTAGTAGTCTATGTATCATGCAGTTTTATGCTGCTAAGGATGTAATGAAGTCTTATGAATGGTTATATCCATGTGGTAGATGAAAAAGCTTTGTCTATCCTGTATAACACATTGAAATGTCTACATATCTATACCATTACATTGGCAACCCAGATACTTAGTTGTTTTTTGAAATTCTCCTGCTAGAAGCCGTTATTTTGGATTGCTTTGGTTTTGGTAGTGACGTATAGTTTACATACGTAAACTGATTCTAATGAAAACTCATCCCACACCATTTGATGTCATTATTTGTTGAACACACTAACGACCTTTTCAGTGAAAATTTTTTCCTTTGCTGTTGAGCTAGAAGAACGACTTTTGTTTTTTTTTTTAATTTATTTTCAGGCCATAATTTTAAACTGATATTGTGTTTCTATTCACGAGGCTAGCAGAGACCAACCAGAAAAAATTGTTGAATCTTAGTAGGTAATAATTTCAGAGTCATTTTAGCCTCCTCTTTCTCCTGTGGTTTTTCGATCAGTTTTTAAAATAAATCAATGGGTTCTACTGGTTTCAACTTTGAGGTAATCGAAATCCTTCACTTTTTGCAGATATTGAATTTTCAATAATTTTATGAACCTGCATTACTCTGAATATAGAAGAAAATAAGGCCATTTTCAACTTGAAAATGGCCTTATAAGCCGAAACCGGTTGTAACGAATAAATAAACACAGTAGAAACTAGACAAAAGTATTTTCTTTATTCTATATTCAACATGAATTTCTACAAAATAAATAAGTCATCAATCGAACGAGCTGTATTACTCTATTGAATAATTTTTTTCTCCTCCTGTGAATTGATTATTTGGGTGACTACCTCGGGCAGACATGGTAGAAAAAAAGCCTTTTGGCTTTCTACTTCTTCATCATTAAACATAGAATGTGGGAAACTTTCTAAAAAAATAACGATAAAAACTATAAAGGCATGTAGTTCTTAGTTCATTACGAAACATTTCTGTCATAACATTACAACTTTGTCATCGGAAGAGATTACACATTTATACAATTAGTTAATTTAATCCCAGCTATAGGAATTTATTTGAATTGAAAAGGGACCATTTCTAGAAGAGATTAGCTGTTTGTGAAAGAAAGTTTCTTGGCTTTCTTGTTCTCCATCACTGAACAAACAATGTGGAAAACTTCCAAAGGAAGGAAGAAAGAAAATGACTACAATAAAAATCTTTATAAAGATCATATGCAGACGTTTCTTCCACATAGAAACTGGAAGCACTTTTTCAAAAAATAAATACTTTTTGGAAACATTGTTCAAAGTGTGGGAGAGATTCGTGTTTTTATTTTAAAAATCAGTTTAAATCAGTGTATATCAACCTAAAATTGATGTAAAATTCGTAATTCATATCCAGGTTTAGGATACTTCAAGAGTATCTCCAGAAAATTACTTTTGCTTTTACCATGTGTGACTGAGGTAATCATCCAAATATTCAATTCAAACGATAACCAAAAAATGTTTGAGAGAATAGAATGAAGAAAAATAAAATTAATCGAAAAATTATTCTAAGTTGAAAAATTTCAAAAAGTGAAATTAAAAAAATTACTTGGAAAAATGACGATAAGGAGAACTAGAACTCAGAATAGTACCCCGTTTGATGAAATGCACACACAGGGGCCACTTAACAGTTGAGCTGGGATAAATTGGCGAATGAGGCATTGTTTTCAACAATTGTCTAATATCAAAAAATTTACATTGTACTATTTGAAATGCAAGCAGGTAAATATGATTTACTTGCATTTCCAAGAAGAACTTTTGTCAACGGTTGACAGTATTCCAGCCTGAGAGTCTACAAGGTCAAAAAAACTTTCTGGGTGTGTTGGCTATACATTTTTTTGAATATCAAAATAATTTAATTTGTTACAAACGCTTGATATATTTATACATCAGTTACGCTGCTTTGACCAGAATATACAGTGTTCAATGATTTTAGGAGGCATTTGTGGTTTGTCCAGTTTTTTATTTCTTTAAATTTGTAATACCTACATCAATTTGATTGGAAATAGGTAGGTTATTTGTCTCGTCAAGATGGGTTAAGTTAGATGGAAACTTGGCAATGTCTGCAGTTTTTTTCATTTAAATTACATACTTTTTCCTCAATAGTTTTGAGGATTATCAAGGAATTTCTATTTATGCTCCTATTTACTATTCAGTGATAGTAGAAGCAGAAAGTTGTCCGGCAGTTAATAAAAAACTTATTATGTAAATCAACAACAAAAATAAAATATAGTGAACTATTCTGATGAAGTAAAAAATAAAAGTATCTCAAAAGTTGTATAATAAATAAGAAGGCATTTCAAAAATGAAGAAGACGGTTTACAAAAAAAATGAATCTTATAAATCTACATTATTTTTTTATATCAGTCAATGTTTTCCATCCACACCAGACCATCTTTGATTAGCCCCTCCAGAGCTTTGATAATCTCGTGACATCACGAAATTTACTGCAGTGTGAGTTACAAGGGATAGTAATGTTGTTAATTAATGCTCTTTCACGGCTATTTTTTGTCTAATGAATGAAAATTGTGATCAAAACTAATAAGAAATTACCTACTCGTTACTGTACCTGCTAAAAATATTAATCTACATTATAAACAACAAGAGATTTTCTACAGGAATATATTCTCTCAGCAACAGTTTTTGAGTAGCCTTCGTGAATTTATTATTAAAAAATAGTGTTGCACTTCTATAAATTTTCGTGAATTTAAGTGGAAAATTAACAGAATTGTTAAAGTTGAAAAATTTCTGTAAAAACTGCTTATTGATCGAAATAATTTTTAGAATGTATTATTTGATTAATCTATTGGGATATATTTTTGAGGAATATAGGACAGAACCATCCATAAGTTCCGTAGAAAATTGAGAGATAGATGTTTCCTTTTTTCCTTCATTATATGACTGTTCTTAACGATTTGTGATATTTGAGAAATTTTGACACTCATTGCAAAATTTCTTGATGCACACAGGAAGATAAATTCAGAACACCCGTGCTGACATTGTTATTATCGACCACTATAACAATCTTGATTGATTTCTATCTGGTCGGTAACATCTATCCTCGGCTCCGTTTGTTCCTGAAACAATAATATAATAAATTTGAAAGTGGAATTTTTTCGTAGATAGATATTCTTATTCAAATATTTGTTCTAGCCGTTGTAGTATCCCTTTATGAAGATCCAATCCAACCCCAACAAGCGGCGTCGGTGGTAGAAAAGCTAGGTGATTACCTAATTACCTGCGGATACTAGAGGTGAGTTGTAGATTTTAACATCACGTAAAAATTGTCAACTTCTTAAAGACGAAATGTTAATTTTGATAAATCGGAATTTAATGAATCCATTGAAAATGTGTTTCAAAAAGACTGACTAGTAGTAATATAATTATCATTTTTTAAAGTCATTTTTCAATATTATTGAATAAGTACAAGTACAAGCATGTACTGAGAAGAGACATTGGCTTGGGAAATATAGCAGAAGCGATCGTTTTCGACAAAAATGACAGAACCAATTGGGTGTACACAACCGGAAAAAATGTGTTAGCAGAAGAACAGAAAATCTAAGTATTCCATATCGTATAAAATGCTTCACATAAACATTGCATAGTTGGAGAAATTGGTCAAAATGGACACCCTGTGTTAAGATGCATGAGTAAGATATTTTTCTCATCAACTGTCTCAATATCAAAATATTTGCTAAGGAAGTGACATGAGCAGGTGCTCCGTCATGCTTAAACCACATGTAGAAATGAATTTGAACATTGGCAGATTCTATTCTTGAACCTGTGGATATCTATTTTACTCATCATCACCAATTATTTCCCGCCCATACGCTTACAGAAACTTGTTCACTTTACACAATATACAATAGATGTTGAATCTGTAAGGTACTGATTGATCTGATCTAGTGTTATCCTAATAATATTTCATTCAAACCTTTGAGACTTTGGTGGCCCACATTATTTTCACCTGTGTTCACAAAATTAGGGTGGCGTACGTCACCCAAAGTGACTTTAATACTGCGCCTGAGAATGCTGCAAAGAACTGAAGAAAAAAAAAACGGCGGACCTGAAAATATTGACCGGTACTGACTAGTACCTGGGCACTCAGGCAACGAAAAAGCTGATGAGTGTGCTAGGCACGAATCATCTCCAAAGTCTAGGGTATGGACCAGATAATGGGTTAGTAAGAAACATAAAAAATTATGGGAGAACACATCTGGAAACAAAAATAACTGAAGTTCTGCTCCAACACAATAGGGATCGGCTCAGACTAATTACAGAACTAATCACTGGACATTTTTCATTTAGAGGGCACTTGGGCAAAATAAGGCTGTGTAACCTTAGCTGCAGACTATACAAGAAAATGTGAAGCACTGGATCACGATCATAGGAGGCACTCAATTTATAGATAACCCAAATTATGCCTTGAAGAATATGAAAAGCATTCTATAAAAGACCTGTACAAACTAGCACAGGGAACAAGATTTTGTTAAAATAGCTGTCATGAAAAAATGGAAGGAAATACGCAAAGAAACTAGTAGCAAAAAATCTTGCGGAAACTCAGTGGTATTGGTTCAAGCTAGCCTACAGAAATAGCCCTGATACATTGAAGAAGGACCAATTAAAACTGGGATTAATTTTTTTCCAGTTCATTAATTCTCTCGAATGTTCCGAGGGTAATAATAGGATAAGGCAAAAAATACAGATATGTGAATTTTTTTCCTTCTTAAAAAAATGGCTACCTCATTTTGTATGTATCAAATTTGTTTTCTAACACTTGAAGTGTCATTTGATATTGCGAATGCATTGATAAATGTGTATAATTCAGTTGTAGAGTTTGACCTTATTTAGAAATATGTTGAAGAATTTCCTTTTGTAGAATTCCTTTCGTCCATGAACTCTTTGTAAACTTGAAGTAATGACAAATTTGAATATTTATTTATTGCACTCGTTTGTGTTCCATTTATGGTTCATTAACTTATTCAGATTTTCAGTGCAATTCTAAACAAATGCGCGTTAAATAACTATCTGCTATCACTGAAAAACATTTTATTTTTCAATAACTATCAAAAACTCGAAAGGCGCATTTTTTGTTAAATGGGGCGAACACCTCTAACAATTTGTAATGGTTCTTTTTTAATTTATTCATTTAGAAACTAGTTTAGGACAGGATCGGTGAAAATTCGCAGATAACTCCACTTGTCTGTTACAGACGTTGCAGCTATAGACAAGTATATAGTAGATAAGTCCTTCCTTATAGTATGAAACAACGAATGAAGATATAGTAAACAATGATAATCAACTCTTTTCTCTTCACATATGACACATGCATGAATGTTCCTATTGAAATTCATTTATTGGACTTGTCTCACATATACACCTGAGACATGAACATTATTTGTGGTTAGCCTTGATTTGTGGTTTTTATTTCTCTCCCATTTTTTTTGAATCAACAAAGTATATGAACATGTTTCTCCTTGTTACAGATAGTGAGTGCCGCTGTAAGCAGCCATGCCGTGCGGCGAAATAATATTATTATGATAAGTTGTATTTTTTTCAAATAATAACAGCGAACCGGCAATGTGTATACCGAGTGCATCATTCAAACAGCGTGAAAAAATGGAATGTCGTTTTCCTTCAACAACTAATTATTATATCGGTCAAATCATTCATTTAATCGTCATCCATCTGCGATTTGAGGTTATGTTATGAGTCGAATCAAATTTCAAACTTGAGTTCTCCTATTTTGGTTATCGCCATTTTTTGTGTTCCCAGCTTATAACATAACCGTTCCTATTGCCAATCATTTTTTGACTGTGGTCTCAATTTTCATTGTTTTTTGTTTAAGAATTTTTAGGATACTTTTAGGTTTCGAAAAAGTTTTCCGCAAAGTTGCCATGGCAACTTTTCGAGAAACTTGTGATTTTTTTTAATAATTATATATTTAAAGCATTTCGTGTTAAGCTTTCTCATACCTACCATTGCTATCTCTAAAAACATTTGATACTGAAGAACTATACAGTTTAGGGTTTTTTAATAAAAAAATCTCTAGTCCCGCTATCTCTATTTTTTTTCTATCCTGTTCCCATCCAGAATGCCGCTTTATGACCAACGTTTCAATGACTGAAGTTGCCAGTTCTGAAATTGAAAAAAGCACAAATGAGTATAATTTTAGAATTGTAACGGGAGTCAGAAGGAGCTTTTCATTTTCGGTCTGCTTTTTTCAGTAAACATGCTATGATTGGTGTTAACTTGTCGTATGTCTCTCTAAATTTTCAGCACTAGTTTTATCAGACACATTATATAAGATTGGATTTGAAATCTTTGTGATAATTTTCGACTAGCTTTAGAATTTTTGTCAGTATTTATTCTTCCTCGACTACTACACCAATCAATGAAAATTTGCAAAAAGATTATGAATTGTTTTTCTTTGAAAATTGTTCGTAATTTTTTTGAAAAATGCTATAATGCTCAGATTTTTGTCTTTTTGTATGACGGACAAACGTATTTTTATCGTATAATTTTGAAGTAAAAATGGAAAAGTAGCTTTGTAAAATTTCATTCGCGAGGGATATTGTGTATCAAAAATTGACAACATAATAAATTTGTATTATAAAATTTTCTTTTGTTTCATTTGTTAACCCGTTTGTTACTTTAGTCTTGCGACTTTTGAACTAGACTTATAATGCAAATCTGAAAGGTATCAGAACGAAAATGACGTTTTTGAAATACATAAGAAATGAAAATCGTTGTAAAATAAGAAGGGTGCCTTAGCAAGGTCCTTCTGCGCCTTTGTGGAGTTTTTAAATCTGCGCTCTATAATACCGGCCGAATGGGGGGTCTGAACAATTTTTAAAATATCTGTTGAATCATTGTTTCAATACGAAACTGTAATTATCATGGTTAATTTTACGTTTTTTAAATCTCGTCACTGCCTAGCTATAACCCCGTCTCCAAGATATAGCTCCTGACAAGAAGCGGTTGAGATCACTAGTGCATACTTGAACCTTCTGAACCAGACTGTTTCTAATATCTTCATCCATACTGTGTACTACGATTTTGCTTTGCCTGAAGCTATATAGTAGTGTAAGATTTTCCAGGTAATCTATCAACTCCTGTGTCCTGTGAGGAATATATTTCTGAAGTGAGATGTTATTGGACATCCACAATCCAAGCCAGGGTTTGGAAGGTTCAAACATCGATTTTCTAAAATGGAGCTAACAGATTTGAAATTTATAGAAAAAAAAATGAATGAAGAGTGATTGTAATATTGAAAGTTATGAAAAAAATAGGACCGAAATATTCATATAAATAACTTAAAATGGAAATAATATCAACAAAAATAACACGTTGAGAGAAATTAAATTAACAAGAATTATAAATAAAGAATATAAAAACGGTAATTTGTGAAGAAAACAAATTATTGTAATTCAATATGAAAATTAATAAATACCTAGGTGAAACCATACATGAAATGACAATCATATGCAAACAATAAAAAAAGGAAGATTTCAAACCAAACTACTTCACAGTGTTTCATTTCTTAACATCCACATTTGCAGTCACTATTTTTTGTTTGCATATTATTTATATTTCATTAACTGTTTAACCCAATAGTTCATTTAAACATGTCATGATAATTTGTTTTTTTTTTTTCATAAACCAGCTTCCTTATTTTTAATTTTACTCATTGTTTATTCACTTTCCTCCAATTCGTTTTTTTTTTGTTGACGTTTCCTTTATTAACTAACTCTTCCAACTATTATTTTCAATATTCCATTTACTTTTCATTCTATTTTTTTCTTCCATAGTTTTCAAATCTGTTGACATCATTTCAAGCACTGAAAATCGGAACCTGTAACATTCATCATGAAACACTGTCAACCACATTCAAGTCTATGGTAAGTAGTGTTGTTATTGAAGCTGAATTTCAACATGAGTTTTGAGTTAAGCAATGATCTATATTATGACTCATTGCTTTTTGTGTCAATGATATCGACCGCTATGGTTATTATGTTCTGTGTATTCTCCATGGCAATAACTACTTGTGCCACTTAGGAAGCATCATGGCTTTTTTACAATCTTGTCAGTCATGTGACGTAGAAGAATCAACCCATCTTCGGCTAAATATACACTTTCAGGAGAATATTGAATGGCTGGAGTTGAGTTGAACTCAGGACTCCAGGGTCAAAATCCAGGCATTTATACATTGCATCAATTCACCGGTAACTTATTGTAACAAGTAAATTCATCGGAGTAGCTACAGACTACTTCGAGTTTTTCAATATAGGTAAAGAATAAAATTCGCTAATGTTTTGTAACTTATTGTAACAAGTAAATTCATCGGAGTAGCTACAGACTACTTCGAGTTTTTCAATATAGGTAAAGAATAAAATTCGCTAATGTTTTGTCCCAGTTACATTCATGAAGTCTTATAGTGCGAATATGTATAGTAAGTACCTTGTAGTTGAATTCATAAGGGCCATTTTATCGAAAACCAGTCCTCCACGACCCAATATTATTATCAAAGTGTGGATTCAATTCCAAATGGCATTTTTTAAAGAAGTTCCACATTGCATTACTTAATTGTTTATAACTCATGCCAGTCCTTTTGTACAATATCAAGTTGCCATTCTGAATCGAATGAAATTGTGATTACCTAATGAAACATCTTATTAATGATCTTGAAAAAAATGTTTGCCCCGCTCTTCCATAAAACCCTTTCTACTCTCCTGCAGCAGTTCATATAAAAAATTTAACTAAACGTATGGAGTTTCTTTCATCTCTACTAAAAAGAGATGGTGCATTTAGCATATATCTTTACAGCTAATGTTTTGGGCCCTATGACTCACTATGGAATGTTAGGCACACAATTCCTGAGATCAGAGGTTTAGGGGTATCGTTTACATCACATAATTACCCATGTTTGAGAGAAACTTTTGACGTCCTTCTAGCTTTTTTTATGAAAGAACACAGGAAATGGTAAATGGTATCAAGTAATTTTAGGAAAACTACAAACCAATAGTGTATTGATTTTTAGTATTTTCACACTTTTTCCCATTATTATAAAATAAAGGTTTTAATATATGTTGACATAGGAATATATGTTGTCAAGTGAATTGAAAAAGTTAAGCAAACCATTTCTTGGCCATTTCATCAGAGAATATACTAAAAAAATTACTTGAACTGAAACAACGGTTTTCAAATTATTAAACATACCAATAGAACGTAAGGTATATCATTCGATCTAGAATTCAAACATATTCGTTTCAACTACAAAACTGAAGAAACACAGTCATAAAATTCGAATCAGTTCTATCTTCTATAATATATAGATATAAATAACTACAATCTACAACAAGTCAAAGAATGGAAAATGGCATATAGCTTCAAAGGATAAAGACATATCATGAAATTGTCCAAAATGTCAATGATAATTCGACATTAATATGTAAAAATTAACCATTGATTATCCAATTAATTTTCAGTTTGGACTTATCAGAGAATCAACCTCACTTCATTCCAGAATATGAAAGATTCAATAATATCTTCATTTAGAAGACTTTATTTCGATATCTGTTTTTCTTATATCTCTAAAATTATTTTCCAACCTTGCTTATAGTGTCTCGAGATATAGATGTTGTATCATCGTAGATTCAAATATATAACATATGTTAGTTGTATTATATATGTCTAACGATTCCAAAAAATTTACTTCATTCGATTTAGAATATACAAGAAGAAATTAGTCTATTTTATTTTACTGTAAATGAATTCCTTGTCATGAACAGCAATGACAACAATTCGAAATTTGATAGTCTTGATATAATTTCATGAACACCACAAACATTCGAAAGAAAAACATAGGTTTCATTTGCCTTAGTTGAACTTTTTGTCATCAGAGTAAGAAGAAATTGTGCATTGACCTATTTTCCTGATTAAAAAAAAAGTGAACTTTGAGAGTGAGTTAGGATTATGAGGTTATGTGTTTGATTCAATTTGAAGTTCATTACCTTCTTTTTAAAGCGTATAAATAAAAACTTGTTTTCTGAAATGTTTTTTTTTAATAACTCATTGATTTTTCCAACTTTAAAATTGGATTTATACTTTTCAACATTTCAAAAATTTCAAGTCCAACCCAAAATAATATGAGATGAGATTCCTGTTTAAGATCAGATTAAGAAGATGGATTAGGTTGAGTTGTGTAAGATAACGTCGTTAATGTCGAAAATTTTCAGTTCTGAGTCTAAATTTTGGAGTTGTAAGTCGGGGAAAATTTAATTTCGACTTCAAAATCGAAAAAAATAAAAAAACTAATGGGACCCTTCTACACGCTTTCATATATTTTTTATTCACTGAAGAGTGATATAAGTATTTTCGGGTCTATCAAATCTGTCGAGGTATACAGGGTGTTTCCTAATTGCTGTGAAAAAGTGTAAGGACATGTTTAAGACCCGATTTTATGAAAAAAAGTTCATATAGTTCAGCAAATGCATTGTTTCCAAGACAGAGTGTTTTAAAAAAAAATCCTCTTTTGTTTTACTGTTGTAAATATTTGTTTCCGTTACAGTAAATGTGACTAGTTGTTTTTATCCGCTTTTCCTTTTCATTTATTCATTTTCTAAAAAAATGAAGCGAACTACGAATACAAATCAGGGGATAAAAAAAGTTTGATTTTCAGATGTTTCGTCGAACAGAAAATCAAATGTTTCAAGAGACATCAGAGGCTTAGATTTTTGGTCAATAATGTTGAACTGTTTCGCAAGCCGCCACTGGACTCAAAAATTTGTATTTGTATGAACCTCTCATCACTTAAATAATATTGCCAAATCAATACAAAAAAGGAATTTGAAAACAAATGAATTTCCGGACCGACATTTAAATGAACACAAAATCAGCTGTTGAACACGCACTTATATTTTTTCAGTGCAATTAAGAAACACCCTGTATGTAGTCAAACAATAAGTGCAAAAATACTGTTTTGACTATGGTTCTCATTGGAGGATTCCACAGTATGTACTTAAATCGAACTTCATTATTCATTTAATTAATGTTCTCTGGAAGAGCCAATAATGAAAAGTAAAAGTTACTGATAAATGACCTATGCATTTTTTTCAGTGAAGGTTTATTACTTTTACCGTTATTTCACATTATATTATGTAATCTGCCAGAGATGTCAGATAGAATCAGTACCGAGCGTTTATTAATAACTCTTATAATGAAAAAAATAAATGGGAAGAGGTTATATGAGCGTTAATGAAAACAGAAGACTTATTTTTTGAGTTATTCGCGAAAAACCGTCTGAAAGTATTGACTTTCATAAAAAAACTATATATAGCAAAAGATGCTTAGAACTCGCCAATCTATCCATTTCCAAACTTATTATCACTGAAACATTTTTCATTCCTGAGAATGGGTGGCATCCACCAATAGGGTAAAAACAACTGTCTGTACAGTATACAAACTGAATCCAATGGTTTTGTGTAAATTGGCGCTGCTCGGCAAAATACAGTATTTCACCGTACTTTATCTTCAATGATTGATTATATCTACTATGGCTATTGGTTCTATTCCAAACTGATTCTTCCGTCAAAAGTAATTGGCTATCTTTGTTCGATG